TTAGAGAAGAGGAAGCGAGGTAAGTGACTGCGGAACGGCGGAGACAGAAGGGTAGGAAGGAGAGAAGGAGGGAGAGAGAGGGAGAGAGGAGAAGAGAGGAAAGGTACAGGATGTTACGATCAGTAGTAGAGTACCGACAGAGGAAGAAATAAACAGAGCGATAAAATATTGGAGCCCAAACAGAAGAAATATGACCGGGCTCAGCCTATTACCGGATGGTGAATGATGACGCGAGCACAAAGCAGGTACGACTGAGATGTATGACTACATACGCACGTCCATCGATGGGTGAGGAGAAAGAATCCGGCTTGTGTTCCGCTCCGTACGAGTTTCACAGAAGCTCCTCGAAACTTGATCTATAACCCTTGACGAACCTGTCGTAAGCAGCCGGCAACGCCGTGGGGTGTGTGTTTACACTTCACTACATTTGCCGCCGCGGGCACGGGAGGCCGCCCGACGGCGCCGTCTCCCCACCGCCTCCTCTCCCTCCCCTCCTCTTCCCCTCTCCTCATCACACCCCGCACCGCGCGAAGCACGTACAGCAAAGCGCAATGCTTGCAGCGTTAGCGGCGAGCTTTACCACAGTTACCCCCAGCTGTGTTGACCAGTCAGTGCCTCCTCGCGCGGTGTAGGCCAAACACTATGAAGCTGCGTGTGGCGCGCACTGTCCTCTCTCGTCTGCTCTCTCTCTGCGCCAGTCGCTCTTTCTTCTTCTCTGGCTCTCTCTTTTTCTCGTCTCTCTCTCTTGTTCCTCTTCTCCTGCCCCCTCTCTCTCTCGTCGGCTAACCCAAACTTCCAAGAGGGCTACTCGCTACCATCGTGCTCCCCCTCGCTCTCCGCTGTACCTCTCTCTCGCGCGCTCTCTACGTGCTATGTGTCCGCTACCCTTGTGGTCGACACCCTTAATCGTGCCTCAGGTCCTAGAAGGCGCGGATTGTGCACCTACGTCGGGCAGAGCGTAGCGTTGCAGGGTACGTTGGTTCACGATGTTGGCAGGGACGGGATAGTAGTGTGAATGTTGCTGTGTAAAGCTGGCAGGATTGCGCTAAACTCGCAGGATAAGCTTAGCTGCTATGCGTTAAACCCACATGATAAACTTGAGCGTTTGCTGTGTTACACACACACGCATACACACGCACACGCTACCCCCGCACGACCTCTCGCACGCGGCACGCGCACGCGCACGCGCACCTGCACGGGCTCGACTGCACACATCACCACACCCACACCTCTCTCTCTCCTTAGCCACTCGAGGATTTAGAATTCCTCGCATATAGGCGGGCTTCGCCGCAGGCTTGATGCGGACGTTGTCGTGTTCGATCACTAGGGGAACAACGCAGGGCAAGCTACACACGACGACGAAGCGCAGGACGAGGCCGCGTGAGAAGCGGACGCACGCACGCATCGCCCTCGCACGGCACGCACGTCAGGGCCAGCTCACGCACACCAAACCTCGTACCCGGCAATATCAGCTGTCTCTCCTCCTTCCTCGCTCTCTCC